GCATGGCCATCAGAAACGCCAGCAACAGGAGCTACAATCGCATGCCGCCTGAGCCGTGGCAGTTCGTTAGAAGCTTCATCGCACCTCAGCTCCGAAGAGTGCGTCTCCTGGGCAGTGGCCACGTCGCAGCTCCGAGCCGCATGTAAAGTAAGAAACCCTTCGGACCTACTGTAAACGCTTGCCTTGATGGTGAGATCTGTCCACCATCGCCTCGGACTCCGACGGCCCCTCGTTCCTAGGTTTCTTGGCGCCCCGTGGGGATTTCAAGGCGCCACGCACACGCTTGCGCCCCCCATCGCCCCCCCCACGCATGCACGATGCCACCGGGATCCTCCGCGTCCATGAACGCGTCGAAACCGGCCTCGCTGGAGGGCGGCACAGTCAAAGCTGGCTGCGCGCCCGCCTCTGCCGGTGCAGTTCCTCCTGCTCTAGGCCCCCCCTGCAGCGGCCCCCCCTCGATCCTGTCCTCCAGTTGCTGGTGTCCCTGCAACGGGGGCGCGAGCATCGTCTGCGAGCACATTGGCCATCTTGAATAACTTCCCCAATATGTCCTGACCCGAGAGGCTGTCCGTGCTGAGCTTGCTGAGCTTGTCCTTGATGGTCTCTGGGCTGATACCGCCCTGGACTCGCGATCGCCGACGTCGTCTTGTGCAGATGCTGCAGAGCCGTAGACGCCTTCTTTCGGTCGCGATGTAGCTGGGCTTTGGGATCTGCCAGCTGCCGAAACATGTGGTCCACTCGCTGCGCCGCTGCCTTCCCAACCAACCCAGCATCGGCGGCACGACGAACCTCCACCTTGCTGCGGCTCCCCTGGCTGACGGTGGCTTCGGTTGTCTCCCAGGTGTCGTCGTCGAACCCAGCCCAGGTCTAGGCCTGCTCTGCCGCGAGGGTGCTGCCAGGCCCAGTCTTGTCGCACTTGGGATCGCAGCCGCCTCCTCCATAGCTGTAGATGCATGTAGATGTAATGGTTGCCGCCCTTACCGCTGCCGGAAGCCTTACCATGTTGCCCCCATTGGTGACGCGGGGGTCCGTAAGCCCAGTGCCCGCGAACGGGTGGTGCTCGAGCTTCCAATGGCTGGCGGGGTGCCCGAGGCCGTGTTCCTCCGCAACTGGCCGTTCCGCACTTGAGACGGGCCGCTGGACGCAACTCCCCATATACGCACTGCCACTGTGCACCCATGGCCAAGACCAACGACCAACACAGTGTGCTAAGTGCAAGCAAGATGACGACCTACCATGACCACCCCAACCCAACCCGAAGACCCGAATTTCGGGTTGGGGGGGCACGGGGTATGAACTCCACGTGTGTTGTTTCTATGTTCCCCCCCACTAAAAATGGAGGGCAAATAGCCTTCGGGTTGTGTTGGGGTGATCTGATGGGTGGCGACAAGAGAGGAGCCCACGCGCGCGCCATCGATTGGTCTGTCCGCGGCCCACCGGTCTTCGCTCGGAGGCCGCGGGCAACATCATCTTCAGCCAAGATGGCTACGGAACTCCCACTTCGGCCTTAGATTTAATTCCCTATGGGGCCACGAAGCTTGCGAGGGACTAGCCGACATGGGGTCGCGGTGCCATGCGAACTGTCCCACTGGGGCACTACCACGAAACGCGCGAGGGATGTGCCGACCGCGACCGTGACGTGGACATGAGGAGGAGGAGGAGGAGGAGGAGGAGGAGGAGGAGGAGGAGGAGGAGACGGAAGCGCCCGTGCTTTCATGGCCCTCCAGCGCACCTCCACTCTCACGCGGCCCCCGTGCCCAGCCGCGGGGACGGCCCTCACGGGCCCCTGGGAGAGGTAGGAGGAGGAGGGAAGGAGAAGGAGGAAGATGAGAAGGAAAAGGAGGAAGAGGAGGAAGAGAGGGAAGAGGAGAAGGAGGAGGAGGAGGAGGAGGCGGAGGCGGAGGAGGAGAAGCAGGCATGGGAGGAGGGAGTGGGCGGAGGGAGGAACGCGGGGCGCTGGCTCCTCAAAACGAGGGCCCGAGATGCTCACAAGATGGTCGGGGCAAACGGATGAGCGCACGCGGGCGTTGCCGTGACTTGTGTTGTCGGGCGGAGCCACACAGGGCCATGTATGCAAGATAATTCAACCATGCCAGAAGTATGTCAAACATGCGTTGTCCGAACCACGGAAAATTAGACGGCAGGATTCTGCCCTTTCAGGCCACCTATATGACCAAGCACAAAATACTCCAGATTTCGTAATAAAAGGAAGGGGGTCTGGACCCTCCAAGACCAAGCCATTTCAGACCTCCCCCGTGGGAGAACCCTCCGAAACATCGCCCCCAGACCCCCCAGGCCCTCCAAGATGGCCTGGAAGGGACACCCCCCCCGAAATGAGACCCCCCTCTAGAGGCCTCCTAGATGGGGTCAGAGTAGATGGGGTCGGAAGACCGCGCCGCATCGCCGATACATCGGCGATGCATCGGCGATGCACCGGCGATGAGCCGTCGACGTCGGTGATGTATCGGCGACGTCGGCGTGGAGAAAATCGGGCTCCGCATCGAGCCGCATCGCCGATGCATCGGCGATGCAGCGCGATCCTCCGACCCCATCCATTCCGACCCCATCTAGGAGGCCTGCACCCTCCCTTGATGACGAAACCTGGGGCACCTTTCACCACACCCTCCGAAGACGGAGGGCCGCGCCACGGCCCGCGACGCCCCTGCTCGCGACCCCGTCGGGGGCTCGCCGCGCGAGCCGCCTCTCGCCCGCGCGCCCGCCCAGGCGGGCACTCGGGCTCCGGCCGCCCCCCTCGCTCCGCTCCCCGGCCGGCCGCTCTGCGGCCGACCGGGGGCGCATGCGTGCAGGATCCTCCTCCTCCTCCTCCTCCTCCTCCCCCTCCTCCCCCTCCTCCCCCTCCTCCCGCGCGCGCGCTGGTGGGCGAGAGGCGAATGCGAAGGGAAGCGGCGGCGCGGCGCGGCGAGGGCGAGGGCGAGGATCAGGAGGGCGAGGCTCGCGAGAGGAGGAGAGCGAAGATCAGCAGGGTGAGGGTGGTGGGAGGATGCCGCAGGCAAGGGAGGATCAGCAGAGTGAGGATCGGCAGAGTGAGCACCACGCGGGGAGCGAGGACCGGGACATCGAGAACGAGCATGAGGAGGGTGAGGATCAAGGTCAGCGATGATCAAGAAAGCGAGGACCTTGGGGCTGAGGACCAGGTGAGAGCCAGGAGGGCCGTGATCAGGAGGCCGAGGATCAGGAGGGCGGGGCGAGCGCGGTCCGGCCCAGGAGAGGGCGGAGAAGAGGACGCAGAGGATCCAGACCTTAGTGGGCCCTGGAAACGACAGGGCCGTTTTTTACCGGTTCTGTTTTGCCGTTTTGTTGCGGGTTCCGACGCCCTCTTTTTTGCCGGTTCCGTTTGTTTGACCCGTTGCGGCGCCGGTTCCGTTTTTTGCCGTTTCCGGTCGCCGTTTTTTTTGCCGCTTCTATTTCAAGGGACACTTTTTTGGAAACGGTGGCACAACGGTCCTGTTTTTTTTTCCGGGGCCCACAAAAAAGATCCAGACGCCGCTGACGCAGGGGGCCAAACGCACGCGCACGGCGCCCGCGGGACAGCCGGCGGAGCACACGGCATAGGGCGCGCCAGACCCAGACCCCCGACGTCATGATTGTTGCAGGGCGCCGGCCCCCCGAGGCTTGGACCTCTTCCCTGGGGCCGGGTTCTCATCCTGAGTCGTTGTTTGACGGTCCCGAGGCCGGGCAAGGGCCCCCAGAGGCCGAAAATTGTGAAACATGTCCCCTCGTGATGTTTTCATTGCTCGAGGGGGTCTGGGGCCTGGGACAGCGCCCATCCAGCCGACGTGTCACAACGGGAGGAGCCCCAGACAGAAATGTTCTAAGACCAAGTCGTGCGAGCCACAACAATTTCTCGGAACAGTCTCCGGTGGGCCTAATTATAGGCAGGCCAGGACGCTCCGCCACTGCTTGAAAGCAGGCGGGGAGGAGGAGGAGGAGGAGGAGGAGGAGGAGGAGGAGGAGGAGGAGGAGGAGGAGGGTAATGAGGGTAATGACTACGCGGGCACAACAAGGTGCCCCTCGCACTGCTCAATCGCTTCCGTCGAGCTCGAAGTCCTCGGCCGGAGCCCTCTGACGGGACCCCTCCCATCGAACGAGCTCTTCGGGCGGCTCGAAGCCGTGCCCTCTGGCAGCAGAGATGGCGTCGAGCCCTCGGAGGCGCAGCGCGAGCGCCCGCCTGCCCGCTGCCCCACGCATCACTGGCATCGGAGCCTCGGCCGTTGGGGGGCCCGTGGACGGCCGGGGCCGAGGAGCACCGCCCCCGCCCGCGCCCCGGGGAACCGGGCGCCGCCCCTGCGGGACCGCCCCCGCGCGCGGGGCTTCCGAGGGGGCCCGTCCCCGCGGCCGGGCACGGGGGCCGCGTGAGGGCGGAGGTGCGCTGGAGGGCTACGGGGGCACGGGCGCTTCCGTCCTCCTCCTCCTCCTCCTCCTCCTCCTCCTCCTCCTCCTCCTCCTCCTCCTCCTCCTCCTCCTCCTCCTCCTCCTCCTCCTCCTCCTCCTCCTCCTCCTCCTCCTCCTCCTCCCCCTCCTCCTCCTCCCTCCTCCTCCTCCTCCTCCTCCTCCTCCTCCTCTCCTCCTCCTCTCCTCCTCCTCCTCCTCCTCCTCCTCTCTCCTCCTCCTCCTCCTCCTCCTCCTCCTCCTCCTCCTCCTCCTCCTCCTCCTCCCCCTCACCCAGGTCTTCACGGAGGCCTCTCAGAAGCAGCTTCCTGGAGACCCGTGGGCCGCTCGTGCAGGGCCCTCGCCTGCTGCGAGGCCGCCCGCCTTCGCTTGGAGGGCCGCCCTCCCTCTGCGCGACCCCGCTCCCAGACATCTCACGATGCGTGCCTCCAGTGCGCGACCCTAGGAGGCCCCTGGCCATGTTTGGTTGTCCCCGGGGTCCGATAACGGCCCCTGGTGACCGAATTCGCCTAGAAACGCCAGGGTTGAGAAACAAACAGATCGTCGGAGGTCTGGGCTTGTGCGTGCCGGCGAGCCAGGGGAGCAGCGGCCTTCATGTTTTTCAGGAAGGCCTGGTTCTCGGACAGCAGGGCCTCTCCCCGCACGGCAATTGGGCCACGTCTTGTCAGGGCGTGGCACGAGGAGAGGACGACGACGACCACGACGACCACGACGACGACGACCACGACGACGACAACGACGACCACGACGACGACCACGACGACGACCACGACGACGAGGACGACGAGGACGACGACGAAGACGTCTGACTCGCGCAGCCCGTCCTCCTGCTGCTGCGCACGCCCCGGGGACGCCTTGTCCCGCAGCGTCCACCGCCGCGACGCCCCGCGGCCCGCCGAGGGGGTCGAGGATTATGATGTGCCCTCCTACTTAGGCCATGGTCTCCAGAGAGAAGTTCGAGCACCAGGGAAATACCGAGACTGGAGGGTGTTCACGCGACGGGCCCTGGGAGGCGATGCTCGTTCGACACTGCTTCGACACTCTTCTGGGTGCTCGAGATTATTTCTGGGATGTGGTCCTGAAGTGCGATGGGAGCTGCATAAGTCGAGGAGGCAACCGCCTACCCGCAGTCCCCCACCTCCCCCCCTCCTCCTTGCATTAAGCAGCGAAGAAGCTCAACCCCCCCGGGGGTGGGCGCCAGAACCGGCGCCTTGGCCCGTCCTCCGCAAGTCATGGCCGAAGCGTTGGGTTGGCGCAGAAAAACAACGACTGACTGCAGCGAGGAAGACATGAAGGCGAATTCGGCGGCAGGCCCGTGCGGGAGAAAACTGAGTGTCCAGAAGGGCGCACTTCCGCCTCCTCCTCCTCCTCCTCCTTCTCCTCCTCCTCCTTCTCCTCCTCCTCCCCCTCCCCCTCCCCCTCCTCCTCCTCCTCCTCCTCCTCCTTCTCCTCCTCCTCCTCCTCCTCCTCCTCAGCCTCCTCCCTCTGCACCTATTGGTCATCGTACTGCCATGACAAGCGCCGAATCAGAGACGAGCGGGCTATTCAGGGAAAGGCGAGCCTCGGCAACGAATAGGCTCTCCGACCCAAATCTGAAGACCGGCCCGCAAAACCAGAGACCCTCCGCAGCCGAAATTGGTGCTTCTTTCGGCGTCTTTAATGTACGCCTCCTCCTTTTCCTCCTCCTCCTCCTCGTCCTCCTCCTCCTCCTCCTCCTCCTCCTCCTCCTCCCTCCTCGTACTCCTCCTCCTCCTCCTCCTCCTCCTCCTCCTCCTCCTCCTCCTCCTCCTCGCCCTCCTCGTCCGCCACCCAGGCCCCGACGACGGCCGGCGACGAGGCGGCGACGGGATGTCGACGGCGGCAACAGAGCCCCCAGAGCGCCACCGGGGCCCAGTTCTGTATAACCGAAGTAAGAACCCAAAAGGCAAACACAATGTTTTGGGGAGACATTCACATTAGAGAACACCCAGAACACCAAACGAATTCACACAATTATCGGCACAATGGATGAAAGATGTCATCAACATGATAGTGGCATGCCCCCGTGGCAGATCCGGCACTTGAGCGAAACACCGACGAACACGAATCAAGGCGTGGGTGGACACCGATGCCTGTCTGAAATAGGATCTGCCACCGTGCCACAGACACTGAGTGGAGTGTGGAGTGGCCACAGTTCCCTCCATATCCCTACTGCTGGATATGATTGCAGATGCTCCCTGCGGGCTCCAGAGCCCGCACTGGCGGGCCTCCTCTGCGCTTATGGGCGGCCTTGGGGTGTCCAGCGTGACCTCCGGAGATCGCTCCAAGAGGACCTCCGACGCACCCCAAGAGGCCTCGAAGACGGCCCCGACCAGACCGATGCAAACCTGCCCTAAAGATGGATTCAAGAGCCCCCAGAGTCCTCCAAAAGATCCCCAAGAGGCACCCGAGAGGCCTCTTCAACACCTCAAGACGCCCCAGAGAGACCCCGAAGGAGAGGCTCCTCAAGAGATCTCCGCATGCCTCCACAAGGTCTCCGGATCACGACCTGGTCACGCTTGCGGAACGCGCCGACAGCCACGTGACCTGAATTTGAAGTTAGATCCCTCAGACAAAGCAGTACTAGAGCCCATACTTTTGAGTACCTCAGGCCTCAGCTCAGGGTCTTGCGTTCCCTATGCCGCTGCCTGGAGAGTGCACTCTCGGTTCAGATGGCCGAGAGGGTGGAGGAAGGGACGGAGGGGAAGGGAGGGCGAAGGAGCGAGGGGGCGGAGGAGGGAACGGCGTGAATCGCTGGGATGGGGAAGTCGAGGAGGGGACGGAGAGGGATGGGAGGAGAGGGGAAGAGAGGAAGGATCGGGAGGAACAACCACGAACGACAGATAGATACAGCAGGCACGTGCAGCGCGGTACATCTGAGCATGCGCCAGCTCCCTCCTGGCTGGGGGCGACGCGGCGTGTGAGACATCTGGCTGTCCCCCTCCTCCTCCTCCTCCTCCTCCTCATCCTCCTCTCCTCCTCCTCCTCCTCCTCCTCCTCCTCCTCCACTCCTCCTCCTCCTCCTCCTCTCCCTCCTCCTCTCCTCCACTCCCTCCCTCCCTCCCTCCCTCCCTCCCTCCCTCCCTCCCTCCCTCCTCCTCTTCCTCCTCCTCCTCTGCTCTACCTCCCTCCCTCCTCCTCCTCCTCTTCTCTCCTTCCCCTCCCTCTTCCTTCTCCTCCTCCTCCTCCCTCCCCCTCCCCCCTGGGATCCAACATGCCGTTTGAGGGTGGGGGGGCCCGGGAGCCCCTGAGCTCGTCAACGCTTCTCGGCCGCGGCTTCTGGAACACCCAATGGGCTCCAAGACGGCCCAAGAGGGCCCAAACAGAGCGTCAACATATTCCTCGAGAGCGTCGAGCTGTCCCAGGGTAATCCAACGACGGTCTCAGAGATGGCTTGAAGGCGGTCCCAAGGCCTCCGAGGAGGGGGCGACAGCTGGTCCTTGTACTTGGTGCCCGAATGTGAGGGACCCCCAGGCCCCCAAAGCGCCCCCAAGAGACCACCACGAGACCCCAATAAGTCCCCAATGAGGCCCTCAAGAACCCGAAAAATCCCCCCCGGGTGCCCCAAAGAGCCCTCCACGAGGCCCACCACGGTCTGTCGGCGGAAGAGCGTGAGCGACGCGAATCAACAACAACAGCAACAACAACGACAACAACAAACGCAGCACCAACAGCAGCAACGACAACAGCAACAGCGACAACACCACCAACAACAACGACGACAAGAGCAACGATAACAACAACAACAACAACAACAACAACAACAACAACAACAACAACAACAACAACAACAACAACAACAACAACAACAACAACAACAACACCAACACCAACAACAACAACAACAACAACAACAACAACAACAACAACAACAACAAAAATTCGCCGGCCCAACGGGCCAGAGGCGTGCTAAGATCTCCGGTAACTGGTTAACAATTGTATTGTACTAGTTCGCGCGCGCGGGGCGGCCCCTGGGGGTCCCCCGGCGAAAAGTACCCCGCCCGCCGCCTGGGAAGGTCCCGCCCGGTTCAACTCAGAGATGGTTTTCCTTCTGGGTGCGGCCTCTCAGGCCGCCCTGAGCGCGCCAAGAGTGCCCCAAGAGGCCCCCAAGATTGCTCAAGAGGCCCCCGAGACGTTCAAAGAGCGCTCCAAGGCGCCGAAGATGACCCCAAGACGGCCCAAGAGACCCCCAAGACAGCCGAAGAGGCCTTCAAGACGCCCCAAGAGCCTTCCAAGAGGCCTCCGAAGAGAGCCCCAAGAGGCCAAAATCGTTGATTTTCATTGGTTTTTCCGATGTTTTTGGCGTTCTGGCTTTTTCGGCTTCCGGACGCTCCAAGACGACCCAAGAGGCGCCCAAGATCGCTCCAAGACGGCCCACGAAGCTCCCAAGACGGCCCCGAAACGGCCCAAGAGGGCCCCCAAGACGGCCCAAGTGCCGCCCAAGACGGACCAAGAGGCCCCAAGACGGGCCCAAGAGGGGCTCAAGAGGGATACAGAGAACTGAAAAATCGAGCCCTCCGCCCCAGAAGGCGCCCAGGAGGCCCCAAAAAGGCCCCAAGAAAGAGGCCCCCAAGACGCCCCAAGAGGCGCCCAAGAGGCCCAAAGAGGCCCCAAAGGCCCCAAAACGCCCCCAAGAGGCCCAAAACTCGGCTAGCCCACAACGGTGCGACAATAGGGCCGGCGGAATGAGCGAAGCGATTAAATAACAACACAACAAAACAACAACAACAACAACAACAACAAATCATTTTACCCGAACGCTCAGTGTTCTCACCAGTGCCAGGGTTTTCATGCGACGCGAGACAATACCCCCACTTCGTGGGGGGGCAGTTCAAGCTCTACCAAATATCCAAACGACTCTTCGCGACCACCCAAACCCAGCTTCCCGCCCTATGACGTTGGGACACTTCACTTCGTGGCGTGCGGACGACCGTGGCTACTACACTGGCGTGGGGTACACACCCACAGAACTTGGTCACTTATTCGGGGCGCGCGTGTGCCCAGCATTCCTGCAATTGTGACATACAATACATGACACAGACAGACAGAGAGAGAGACAGAGAGCAGACAGAGAGAGAGACAGAGAGAGCGGAGTTGGTCACATTTTTGGGGCAAGTTCCTGAGATCGTCGTGTTTTTTGTTGGTCTTGCGCGCGCGAATGTCCACTTTACTTTTTTTTGCAAGGGAGTATTGAAATTTGATTATGTTAGAACAAGAAAAAGTAGCTCGCGCGAGCTCATGTAATATAAATGTTGAAAAACCATTGGTTTTGTGGGAGTCGGACAACGCGCGCGGGATGAAATTTGGACATTTTTTTTTGAAAAACCATTGGGTTTTTGATGTTTTTATGTTGAAATCGCTACGAAACCTAAGGTTCTGGAAGGATTTCGTCTTGCGCGCGCGAATGTCCACTTTACCTTATTTTTTGCAAGGGATTATTGAAATTTGATTATGTTAGAACAAGAAAAAGTAGCTCGCGCGAGCTCATGTAACATAAATGTTGAAAAACCATTGGTTTTGTGGGATTCGGACAGCGCGCGCGGAAGGACATTTTGACAATTTTTTCTTAAAAAACCATTGGGTTTTTGATGTTTTATGTTAAAATCGCTACGAA